TCTGCTTCGTCATGCCTGGAGCTGATCCGTGCTGGCCGCTGAGGAAATACATCAACTTTGCGCTGTGGATCGCCGGATCGGCTTTCACCGTGGACGAAGCAGAGTCCAGCCCGGGGTCGTCACATGTGGTTGCCGCAAGCCCGCCGGCCACGCCGTTCTCAAGCCCGCCGCCTGTTTCTCACTCAAGCCCGCAATGTGTGACGCTGTGTGACGGATTTTATGCAGGACTGTTTCCTGAACCTGCAGAGTACAATGGGTCTGTGCTCAAAGGCTGTTCTTTAAAGTGGGGCAGTTCCAACTTTGCAAGGACAGTCTGGTGCTTCTGACTCACAGCCTGTAAGTACATTTTTTATATTTAAAGGATTTGCCACTGATGATTCAAACGCGAGTCTTGAGGTATTCAGCCAATCACAATGCACTGGATAGCTGGCCAATCAGCGTACACCTCGCTTTTCAGAACGATGAGCTTTGTAAAAAATCGACACGTTTCAGAAAGGCGGGGCATAGAGGAGCAACAATAATGTACATTATGTCGAAAATAATGTGTTTTTTGAAACTTAAACCGCATAAACACATTGCATTACACCAAATACACAACATAATATTCTTTTTAGCAACGTCATATGACCCCTTTAGTTAACTAAATTAGTTAACATGAACTAACAATGAAAACTTATTCTAAAGCATTAATTATTCAGTCTAATCTAGTCAACTGTGCTAATGCATTTCAAAACTTGTATCTTTTAATATTATTTAATGAACTTGAGCTAACATAAACTAACAAAGAACAGGTGTATTTTTGTTAACTAACATTATCAAAGATTCATAAATACGGTAACAAATGTAACGTTCCTTGTTAGTTAATGCTACTGTAGTTAATACATTAACTAAGATTAACTAAGGAAGGGTACTGCAAAGTAAAAAAAAAAAAAAAACTGACCCCAAACTTTTGAAGCTATAGTGTATAGCTAGTTTCTAAGAGTGTGCAGTGTGTAGTGAGGTATACACAGGACTGACACAGTGCTGAGTGGATAGGAGATGGTATTACTCAGCTTTGCTTTCAAAAGATTTGAGAGTTTGGAGACTACCGTTAAAGCCACAATAATCTTACAACACAAAGGACTGTGGGTTTAACCTCTAACCAACACCTCAAATCTGCTTCAGTCCAATTAAACTTGTCGCAGTCTCGAGGCTTACTAATAATCTGCTTCAAAAGATTAAGTGTCTTTAGTAGACATGACTGCCAGAAAAGTTTTAAACCACTGGTTAATAAATAAATAAATAAATAAATACTATAAATATATACAGTCTTTCATTTTGATTGGGTGAGCTGTGTTCAGAGTCATCATACAACTTATTAAATGATATACATACATATTATAAATATATAAGTCTTATATATGGAAAATCACTGTAACACATGGCCTCTTGTGGCTTATTTCTATTGTCCAGGATCCATGAGGACACATCTCACTGTCTCTCTGTTTTACCCCAATCCTGAGCTGACAATAACCAATCCCAAGCTGGAGTCCCAACAGTTTCCATAAGATCCATAAATCTATAAGAATAATAACCTTAACTGTCTTAGTGTCTCAGCACACCCTTTATGTTTTTTTACTTTATTCCACTTATGTCCATCATAGCAAAGGAGTATGGGTGTAAGTGTCTTTGTGAGTGTTTGTGTGTCTCTGGTCCTCTCCAGAGATCATCAATCATGCCCATATCAAACTCCTTTCTTTTTCACAAGCCGCCCCTCGCCTCCGCTCCTGACAGGCCATAATAATCACACTGTGTTGCCATG